TATATCCTGATTAAACCCGGATTTTTCACTCTGATCAAGAGGGTCTTTATCAACAATATATCCCCCTTTGTAATCCTTTATTTTTGATAGATCTTTTCATACTTTGGTATACAATTTAATTATAAACTTGTTTATTAATAAAAATACCATATTTTATGCAATTTTTTGATATATTTGAAAACGCCTTGTTATTTTTTCCCTTTGATATTTGAGATTTGTCATCTTTTCTTCTTCGATACAATCTTTGCCGCTCTAATAAAATCCTTTTGGCATTAAGTTTATTTGTTTCCTATAAAATATAAGAGATATTGCACTATTTTTTGCTACTCTTAATAGAAATGGACTATATATATGTATATAATCTAAAACCAAACAGAGCTTTCTAAATATGAGTCCATACCATACGTTTTATTTGTTCAGATGTAATGAATGGTTTATTTGGAGGATGTACCACATCTGTTTGAGAAGAAAGACTTTGCTGATCATTTATAATGACCATTGATGCCAATATTATAAGGAATAACCTCCCGTACTAGTCTTAAAGCTGCTTTATAGAGGGTTTTATACTATTTATTTTAATCGAAAAAATATATTAAGAAACCAGGTTATTTCGACCCTATAGAGATATAGGAAGAGATAGTTCTACGTATTTATGGTAACTTCTGGTAATGGAGGGGATTTGGAAGTCATTATTGATGAGAAGAATCCAGCAAAAGAAGTTATTCTGCCAAATTCATCCATCTTCTTAAAACTTCCATCTAATCTACTAAAGTTTATTACTATAAAAGAAAACACGTAAGAATAATTGCTAAATTTCTGAATGTGCTTAAGTCATATCATAGAATAATCAATCTAGGCAAATTTGGCACGTTTTGTACTGATGATATTATTGGTCATCCATATGGATTTACCTATGAAATATCCAACCAGAAATTGAAGATTATCAAGAGCAATAGGATTCATGAGATAGGTAGCTTTTAGTTTTCTTTATTTTTTCCAACAGTTTTTCAGAAGATGAAATAGCAAATAATAAAGATACTATAGACGACTCTTTTAATCAGTTGCTTACTTATGATGAAATAATGTATTTAAAGCAAGACAAAGATTTGAGTGGACAAGTATAAATAAGCAGTGTTTTCTTGTTTTTATTAAATGCCAAAAGGATATTGTAAATAAAATTATTATTTCACATAAAACATATGATCAAAAAACTGAATATGCAAAAGATAAATACATACGCAAAAAAATAAAAAAATATCAAAAGGGATTTACTACTTTGTTTCCAACAATATGGGAAATTTCTGAATATATATTAACCAAAGATTTTTCAAAGATAATGGATTTACGAGCAGAAATAATAGCTTATATTTTAAATTTAGGCAATGTTCAGCCTGGAGGGAAATATATCGTCGTAGATGAAACCTCTGGTTTATTAGTGGCTTCGATACTGGAGCGAATGGATCGTATTGGTCAGATTATGTATATTCATACTAATGAACACCCAAATCTGAATAATTGTAAATATTTCGGGCAAGATTATATTCCTGATAAACTCATTGAGAAAGATGTTTTGTTGACTTTAAATTGGCTAAATGTTATAAATCGTAATCAAGAAATTGAACTTGAAAATAAAGATATAAATACAATGAAAACAAAGCATATTGAAAAATATTTTAAAAAAAAAAAAGTACATGAACGACTCAAGCGTAATATTCAATTTCTTAATAACGGAGAATTTGATGGGTATATTTTTTATTTATAAATTTAAATTTAAATTCTTTAGACTTTTTATTGCCTCAACATATGATCCATCAAGTATACTATCACACCTCATTCCTTTTGTCGCAGGCTCTTGTTCTATTATTATATATTCACCCTATCGTGAAATACTTGTTGCTACTTCTCATTATATTTCTTCACGCAATACACATGATATTCTTGCACCTATCATTTCTGAAATTAGGCATCGCCAATATCAAACCCTAAGTAACAGGACTCATCCATATATGATCTCCAGATCTTTCATGGGATACGTCTTATCTACAATAAAGGTTCTTCCATGTCTTGAAAATCTTAGACCTTTAGGCAAAAAATAATTCAATATATATATTATAAATGTTATAATATTAGAAGGCTATTTTAGGGTTCTACCCTCACTCTTTAAAAAATCTTGAACGTGACGTACAAACTTTTCAAAAAAAATGACAAAAAGAACCAAGAAGGTAGGCTTTTTATATAAAATTATATACAAAGGGCATTTCTGACATAGAATAGGTTGGTGTTGCAGGAAAATATGGGCCTCGGTATGGGTCATCATTGCGAAAGGATATTAAGAAGATGGAAATTCAGCAACATGCTAAATATGTTTGTACTTTTTGTGGAAAAAAGAGTGTAAAAAGGAAGTGTGTTGGTATATGGAGATGTTTAAGATGTTTTAAAGTTGTTGCCGGTGGGGCATGGACCGTTTCGTAAGTGTTTTTTTCAATAAAATAAGTGGTATTTAGAAGTTTATAGAACTACTGCTGCTGCTAGTGTTAGATCAACTATTCGAAGATTACGTGAAATGGCTGAAATTTAGATACGTTATTTTTTATTATAAGAAATAAGCAGTGCATTTTTACTTAAAAAGCATTACGTTTTATTACAGTGTGATTAGGATCATGAGACATTTTATTTAGATATTATGTATTAATTGTTAATATTCATTTCTTTGTTAGAAATTTCAGTTTGTTAACAAATTGAATAATATATCAATATAAATAATATGGTTCCCGCTTTTTACTTTGATTCATCTTTTTTCTTTGCTTTTCTAGGTTTAATTCCTTTTTTTTTAAGTAATCTTATTTTGCTTTTTTCAATTAATCTGTTATCGAGTTCATCGAATTTATTATCATCGTCTAATCTTTGCGTAATTGTTTTATCATGTTTAGTTATGTTTTCATTTAAATCTTGCGGTATTTTGTTGCTTATTTTTTTGAGCTTAGCTATAAAAAAACTATATACTATTAATACTTAAAAATAATTTATTGATATTTTTTTAACCCGTCTAAATTATGAACGTGAGGATAGTATCTTTTACATAAATTCATCTTAGGATTAAACACTTTATCTCTAAAACGTGTAAAGCCATCCACTCCAAAACTTAGCCCAGTATCAACCAGCTTTATATTTGGTCTTTTTTTTAAAGCATAATCAATAACCATCTCATTTTCATCGATAGTTACAGAACATGTTGAATAAACAACATAACCGCCTGTTTTACTATTTGCATCTACTGAATCAATTGCTGACAAAATAAGTTGGCGTTGAAGATGTGAAAGAATGTTAAAATCTTTTTCCGTCTTAAAAAATTAGATTAAGATTTTTGTAGAAAAAATAAAAATACTTTTTTCATTTTAATACTTTGATCTTTTGAAATTATACCAGTTCCACTGCATGGAGAATCCAATAAAACTCTATCAAATCCCCCCATAACCTTTGGGAAATCCCTACCATCATGTCTACATACTATTGTATTTTTAACTCCAAGGCGATGGATATTTGCTACAAGACTTTTTATTCTATCTTTAGACAAGTCGTTAGCAAATATTACTCCTGTGTTTTTTTGCAATGCAGCAATATGCGTTGTTTTTCCACCAGGCGCAGCGGACATGTCAAGAATTCGTTCATTAACTTGTGGAGATAATGCTATAATAGGAAGAAAGGATGAAGCGGTCTGAATTGTGTATTTTCCTGAAAGATATTCTGGTGTTGCTCCTAAAAATAAATATGAAATGAATATGATTTTATTATAAGATAATACCTATAGGGACTTGACTTTCAAATATTTGTATACCAACTTTTGACCATTTTTCAATAGGTTCCAAATTAACACCTCTGCTCGTCAATGCATTCATAAGGTCTCGTCTAGTAGTTTTCAATGTATTAGTTCTAATAGTAATAGGTCGTGGAACCTCATTTGCTTCAAAAAATTCAAAAGCCTAGAAATTAATAATTTAATATTACGTAACGATACTTACTTCTTGAACACTAAACATTCTAAACAGTTTTTCTGCCAAAAATCTTGAATATCCATAATATTTAGATATATCATCCAAAAGCTTCTCTATATATTCTGATCGGCTTTTCTTTTTTCCCGAAAAATTCTTAAAATTAGTTAAAAGATGAATAGTTTTTTGAATTCTTGTTTTTAAAATTTGGTGGTCATAATCCTGTTTTTTTTGATAAATTTCATCATCTGACAGAGAAGAAACAGATGGTTCCTTATTAATTGAATTATTAATTAACTTTTCCTTGAAGAATTAATAGTTGAAATATAAAATAAGCAAATTAAATTTACTTGGTTTGATTTAGTATCTAATACCGTATTCATTTTTTCATCATTATGATCGCTAAACAGATATTCTTCGTAGGAATCGTTGCTACTTTGACTTGAAGAACAATACATTTTGTCTGTATCAGAAATGGAAAATTCTTGACAATTTTCAAAATGATCATGATCGTTACCAAGATCTGTAAAAGATGATTCTTTTTCTAAATATAGCTCGGATTCATTTGTTTCTAAGTTATGTGATAATTCTTTACTTTCTTGAGATTTTTTTATAATTTTTATTGTATTTTTTTTAAACTTTGCTTTTTTTCTTTTAAACTCTTGACTTTTTTCATCAAATTTGCGTTTATTGCTTAAACGTTTATATTGAACTTGATGTTTTTTAGAAGATCCTTTCAATGATGGCACTTCCTGTCTATTATGCTGCCGTTCTTCCATTTCTATCTCTTTACAGATAACTTTTTAATAATAAACAGATTATATAAAATTCCTTAATATATTTAAGCTAACTTTAAACCAAAAATACTATAAGAAAAGCCCAAAAGTAGACCTTAAAGAAGAAAAAGAAGAGAAAGAAGGAGGAGATAAAAAGCTATAAATTGTTAATCTTAAAGAAAGGTTATTTTGCTTAAAAATTGGAAATCAAGAGGGTTTTAAAAACAGTTGTCAAGGGCTCCAGGGGGGTTCGAACCCCCGACCACATGCACCCAAAGCATGTATGCTACCTCTACACCATGGAGCCAGCCTAAGTGGGTGGGTTAAAATTATATATAATATTAAGTATCAAAAATTTGGTTTTGATCAGTTTTATCAAAAGAATTTGAGTATAAGATTAAAAATTGATTATTGATCTATTTATATATTAGGATCATTAAGCTATAAGATAATTATAATCACTTAGAGATGAAAAGGACGGATGGAAAACGGCATTCTAAGCAGTAAGCATAAGGAAGTTGATCTATTTAATTCTTGTTAAAGAAATATTTATAGTTTTTTTTTAAAACGTTCACACTCATATAACTCAATTTTACAACCTATATCGATGGCCCAAACAGCTGTCTTTAATCCTCCACTATATGGACATCCTCCTGGTGCATTGGCGCCGTTGTCATTTACGTATTATTCTATTTTATTTTTTAAAAATATTCTTATATTATTAGGAGTCTCTTTAGGACATCATCTATACAGTTATCAATAACACCAGAGTCTTCAGATAATGAAAGTCTAAATAGGATTCAAGGCAATGGTTTTATAAAGAAATATCCATTAATTTCAAAAGTCCCTACTTATGAATATTATGGATTTGTACTATATTTAGGAAGCAGTATAGTTTTTGGTATGTGAATTTTATTAAATAATTGTTAAATTTATAAATTAAATGTTTAATTTTTGCAAAATATTTCTTACAGGTTATTTTAGGTATTTATATCATTTGGAGTTATTTTCCTATATCTTTACTTGATGTCATGGGAATTACATATTATCCGAAAAGGTTAGTAGATTATTTGTAATAAATTTAACTAAGTTAATAAGATGGTGGTCTTTGGCTTTACCTTCCTATTTTATAATCACTCTTATTTATATTTATTTTGCTTTATTAAGTTATAATATTAACGTATTGACACCAAAATTGAACCAAATGGAATGTATAACAGATTCATACGCAAAGGTCTCAAGTACTGTCGATATAAAATCAAGTACTGATGCTGTTATTGATTTGCCTATTGGGGAAGTTTCTTCCTTGTTATATGGTGATTCTGGTATATTTAAATAAAATAATTTTGTATAGCAATGCTAATTCATAAAAGAATATATAAGAGCATCTTCATTATTTGTTTTAAAAAAATAATACATTAAAATTATATCTTAATTTTATATTCAAAATTTTTGTAGGATTTATACTGGTTTTTAATGTTTCTATAAAATATAAACTATATTTAAAGTGGGATTTATATTGTAGTTTTATTTTGGTAGTTGTAATTAAAAATGATCAAAGACATTGTTTTTTTAGGGTTAATCTTTATCGGTTTGAAGCTTTTAACAAGCTGTGCTCTTAAAAATTAAATTAAATGACTTCTGAAATTACTCATAAAGCTAATATTGAGTCTTTATATGAAAATATAGGAAGTTTAGAGACTAAAGTTTTGAATCCTAAAACTGCAAAAAATGAGCAGCTAAATAAATTGGACCAAGTAAATGGTTTAAACATCGTTCAAGATCAGCTATATTCTACTAAAAGTAAAAAAGATGGCTCGTTTAGCTGTCTTCCTGAGGATTTGTCTAATATATATTATTATACAAAAGTAATTAATTGGTTTGATAAAGAGACAGAGTCTATTGTACAGAAAATAATTATTTGTCAAAATGGTACTTGGATTTTTTCTTTATAACTCTTATATAATACTTCATACTAGAAAACAGTCCATATCCGATAATTCCTTTGTTAAATTTATTTATTCTTCAAGACTCTTCAGGGAATTTTTTATCTGGTTGTTCTTTACAGGATTCTCAAATTTCCGCCAATTCTTTACTTAGTATTATTGCAAATTATCTTGTTTCAAGAGTCTCCGAGGAATATTTGGATAATATCTTGCATCACCTTCCGCTTTTACACAAGTGCTTAAATGTAAATCCTTGCTTTAAAGATATTTCACTCTTTGATAGCGAAGAATCTAAGATATTTTCAATTTTAGGAGTCCAGCTTTTGCATGGATGGCTTCCCAGTCTTCAAGAAGATGGTTCTGATATTTATAATGCAATCATTAATGCAGAAACGTATGAAAATGCTTTAGAAAAAATATCTATAATGAAAGAGCTTTTGGAAAATAAAAATCTTCACTACGCTTCCAGAGATGAGAAAATTTCTGAAGGTCGACTGCTAAATCGTTTTTTGTGTTCATATCCACGTTGCGTAACACCACATGGTATAAAAGCTTTACGAGAGAAGTTACATCCAGGAAATTTATCATTATTATTCTATAATCTCCATTTTTCTCTACTTTATTCTCATTATCAAACTGGAGAGCTTTATACATTAGTAACGGACTATGCATTTAAGGATTATGAAAATAAAATTGTTTGGGAATCTTTAGAAACATCTTCATATTTTAATTCAGATTTTGTTCAAGATATTTTATTTAATGATCTTTCTGGTATAAATAATGAGTAATTTCTAAATTTAGTTATAAGAATTTCTGATTTTTAAAGTTTTTCTTTAGCTTTAAATATGCAGCTCATGGAAGATCAGCAAAAAGAAAATTGGGTATATTATCTTTCTCAATCAAAAAAGTATAAAAAACATAAAACTTTAGGAAAAGTTAAAGAAAAAAGAAAAAATAATAAGTTAAATAATGATATAATTCCTAGATGGAAAAGAAGAGCTTCCGATTCTTTTGAAAAGTTAAATAAGCATTTACAAAAAGAAAAAAAATGCATCATATTTTAAGTATAAGTCTAATGTACAAGTTCGCATTGAAATGTTTTTATAAATATTATTATATTGGATTTAATTCTGTTAGTACTATTTTTATACATAATTAATCAATAAAAGATTCATAATAATAATGTTTAATCGAAAGTAGATCTATTGAATATAGTATAGGTTTTTAAAATATTATAATACGTGTAATCGTTGTCAGGTTTTGTAAATATATCATTTATAGATATTTCAAATTCTTGTATTCACTTTTATCATACCATCTCCACCAACACTTGTTACATACTCTAATTGATAAGTTTCGTCTCTTCCATGCCACCATGAAACATCATTAACACCCTCCTGTGCTTTTATATGATGATTTGAAATTTTTTGAATGCAAACATGAGGAAATTGCATATCCCAGAATCTAATAGAAGCATCATGACCTAATAATACATAAATATTTTTATATTATATAAAATAGAATTATTACCTCCAGAAACCAAAATTCTTTCATCCGGAGAAATATCTAAAGATGATATTGCATTTAAATGACCAAGCATTGAATATGTACATTGAGCTTAAGAAAATTAGTAATATAATATAGATAAATCAAGTTACCTGAATTTATATCATAAAAGCGAATATATTTATTTTCATGTCCAGAAATTAACATATTTTCTTTGGAAAGACTTATAATTTTGTTAATTTGAGTATCAATGGTCCCATCTATATAATTATGAATAATTGTAATCGTATTAAAAATCTTACCATAAATTTCATCATTCCTTAATTCTAGAATACATTTGCCCGTTTCAATGTCATACGTTCTAATTATTGCATTATTCCATGATACTGAAATTTTTCTTATATCATTATTTAGAAAAGTTATACTAGTTGGGATAGCAGAAGATGGTTTGTTTAGATTATTTCCATGAAAATTTAATGTAGAAAGAAGAGGCGAGGAGTCAGTATGATTAATATCCCATAGTTTTATAGTCCCATCAGCAGAAATTGATGCTAATATACTTGAAACTGGCTGGAAAGATAAACCCCATACAGCATTTGAATGACCAGTAAGTATGCTTGGAAGAGCACAATCATCTTTAATACATTAGATTTATTATTAAAATGTTTTTTATACCTATAGGGGCATAAATATTACGTTGAGGTTCTGGTATTTTCCAACATCTAATACTAGAATCAATTCCTGAACTGAAGATTTTATTAGCTTCGAGTGCAATGCAAACATTAGTTACTATTCCAGAATGGCCTCTATAGGTAATTTGAGGAATAATATCTTGGCTAATATAGTCTTGTTAGTGTTCTATATTAATTATATTAAGAAAATACTTGCGCATTTTCTTATTATTTATTGGAAGCCTCCAAAATTTAACAAGTCCATCATCACCACATGTTGCCATACTTGCATAACCTGAATTTTCATTTTTAGACATTGAAACCGATCTTATATTAGTTAAATGATTTTTTAAAATAAATTTAGTCTTCCATTCAGTATATGTGTTTTGATCATTCTCATAAATTTTTTCGTCAAATTCATTATCACCATCAAAATCCCAGGTGCTATTCTTAACATCTGCAGCTGCATGTCTTTGCTGCAGACATGAATTAAGTAATAACTGGGAATCAGTAATTATTGCTCCATGTTCATTTTTTTTTTTATGTATTTGATTATCTTCTTGATGAACTTCAGATGTTTTACCTAAAGACATAGATGGTAGATTCGATGGTAGTATTTTATTATAGTGAAAAACATTTTTTTGATTTTTTCCGTCATGAATGTCCTTATCTTTATTTAAAATAATTGCATGTGAATTAATATGAGATGAATAATTATTTTCAATGAATTTGTCTACATTATCAGTATCATAAGTTTTGAATGATTTATTTCTCTGTTGATAGAATTGGTTCGACGATGTTTTTATATTTTCATCATATAAATTGCTTTTATTTTGCTGAGAGTGTTCTTCTGTATTTATTGATGATATTGGTGTTAATGCACAATTATTATGTAATGGAATATAGTGTGGTTGAATAGGATTGGGTTGGTATAAAATAGGAATATCTGTTAATATATTTGGTTGAGAATTAATAAGATATGTAATTTCTTGAAGACATCTATAAAAATAAATATGTATCATGTCAAAATTTAATATATACTTTTCTAAAAATTGCTGACTTTTTGCTCTTTTAGTCGATTGCTGTGAGTTATCACGAGAAATTTTACTTTCAGGGAATAATTTTGAGCGTAATTCCTTTTCTTCTTGTTTAGCTATCTCATCGGATTCGCTTATTTTTTGCGG